TGCGAACGAACTCGCGGGGAACTCCCGGAACTGGTGGGGGTAAGGGATCCAAAAAAATAAAAGGGAGTCAAAACATCGCCTTTATTGATGTTCTTTTTGATACTCTTTATATTTTTGTTTGATGCTCTTTTTACTTTTTGGTTGATCTGGATGCCAACTTGTGGGGGTAACTCAGGCAACTTGTGGAGTGAACTACCCCGTGATACCAAATGGGTTTCTCTCCCGTGGTGCGAACTGGGTCAATGAATTGCATGGGTTGGCCGGCTTTGAACTCTGTGTGGTCGATGGGAACTCGTTGTGTTCTTTTTCTTTTGGGGTGTGGTTGGAGAAGAGTGATGGATACCCTCAATAACGCTCCCTTTTCACCCCTCCGGCTCGTTCATGGAACTGAAGGGTGGGACTTCCCCACCCTTCAGCTGGGCTGGGAGTTGCGCCCTCGCAGTCACCCAGTCCGTCGCTTCAAAGATCCTGAAAAACATCCATGGAACTGGAATATGTGTGGTTCCATGGGATGGTTAAATGGGTGCTTTAAGAGGGTTTCCACCTACACCGGGCACGGCTGCCCAGCCAGACGGAAAAGGCCGAGAAGCCCGGGCACCGTTGTCTGCTACGTCGCCGCGTTCCGCTCACCGGATCGTTTGGAGATGGAAGGTTCATCGGCATCGGCGTCTTTCCAAAAGGATGGACCACCACCAGGGTTTTGCTGGGCGATTGGGGTGTCTAATATAGCCCCTGAGAGGTGGGGGGTCTCCATGGACTACCCCTTAGAGGGCCCTGGCATAGAACCTCCAAAACATGGACCACATGACATGATAGACCCTCCTATCAGCATGATATTATCCCAAAATGGACTACCGAACCTCAAAACCCACTAGACCCACCTACAACGCAACTTCACGCGAAGTTTTTAAAGACTCCAACACAACTTGACCATACTTGACCACTTGGTGTCAGCGACGGGCATGCCGTATGGGAAACTACTTCCAGCAGTATGCCTTGAACAGAACTTTCTTGTTCTACACCCTGCACGGGATCACGCCTGATCATGACCTTGGATGCGGCATCCAATCCGCGTGACTTTCCCACAGGTGCGGGTGAGGCAAGTCATTCAGAGCGAGGTCCCAACTTTGCATGGATGGGGGGATACGTACCCCGAGGGTCTCAACGAAGAAGAAAACATGCCATGCCCTGAAAAATCTGAGCCAAAATACAGATACCTTTGCAAGGTGGGGATGTTCCAATCTCTTCTTACGAAAGGTGAATGCAGCTACTTACTTCCTGTTCTAAGTGTTGACCTGCCTATCATCGAAAAAAAAAAAACACACACACAATACAACAATACATGAACAACAAAAGTAGTTTGGCACATGAACTACATTGATGCGCCCAAAAGTTCAGCACAAAACAAGCACAAAACAAGAAACAGAACAAACACCTGGCTGCCTGAATCCAAACTCCACACGATACATCCGGACACTGAAAACCTCTGGCATTGCCAAGCACCCACAAAGATTTGTAGATAGTTCCTCGAGTCCTTTGTTCCATTCTCTTCCTTTAGTTCCAACACATACCACAAATTGGCACACCAAGAACACCAAGAGCACCGGATGACTGAATTGTTCGATTTATATATCAATATACTCTCCCACGGATTTGTTGGGGGCAGTTACACCGGTTTGAAGGGTGTCTCAGCTCGTTGAGTGAAATGACTCTTAAAACTTTAGATGAAAGCTTGCGTCTGTCGCCCCCTCAAATCTCGGGGCCAGCCTACTTTCATCTGTCACTTCGGTGTACAGGTAGGATCCCAGAAAGCATCCCTAGTCCCTAGATCTGGAGAAGATGATTGCTTTCAGGTGAGCATCTTTCTGAAGCCAGCTCCCGTGGATTGCGGCCAAGTGACAGTGATAAACCATCTGGTCTTTCTCGAAATCCTGGGAAGGGTGGTAAAGAACTTCACTGATCAGCTTCCCCTGGTTAGCCCTGTGGTTAGCTAACTGAACAGGATCAAAAGGCATCTCCACAAAACTTCGACAGCATTCGCGCCATGGCGAATCGAAGCAACGTAGCCAACTGTCTGGCACAGTTCACAGTACTTGCTTCACGGTCCTGAATGGCACCCTCAAGACGACAGTGTTCCTCTAGCTGCACCAGTGGTATTTTTCAGGGTCTAGAAGTGAGTTCGGTGAGGTATCTGACAGAAGTATTGACATGTCGAGTGTTGCTCTATCCCGGTTCACCTGGGTCCTGACAGGTTCCAGGTCACCCCCTGGCTCCCTTGCAAAAAACAGCTTGACATTGTCTAGTTCACTTCCTGTGGCCTATTTTTGAATGAAAGGCCTACCAGAACAGGCAGCAGTTGCCTGTTCGCAGCAGTTCACCATAGTTCACCACTCTCCCTGCCGTCTGAGTGGCTAAAATATCCAGCTGAAGCGCCAACAGCATGTAGAAGCGCGGTGGCAAGCCGTGTTGGAACTTCCGGGAGCACACCGACAGAAACCTCGAGTGCGTCGGGCGGTTGCATCGGAAGGATCCGCCAGTTGAAAGGCCGATGCGTCCCGTTCAGCGTCGAAGTTCATGTTGATGCAACCCAATTTCTCGCCCTAAACCCCCGCATTTAACCAGCTGTTTGAACAGCTCTCTCTGGAAACGAGACAGTTTGATGTTGGCCGAAGGTGCTCCATCGACTAGATCCATCAGGCGAAGCAGGGCGAAGCAGGGCCCTCGCCCTCAGATCTACAGCCCCCCCGCCCCGTTGGTCCAGGCCGGCCGTGTGTCAAGGGGCCGGTTACGCACCAGCTTGCCCGAGAAGATCGCCGAGGGCAACTGTCCCACCTGGCGCGACCGGGAACAACAAGTGAGTCACAAGTGTTTTAAGGCTCCAAGCTGGCTTTGTGCACTTCAAAAACCACTGGCAAAAGCACACATTCATTGAATTTGGTCTTCATTTAATCGTTCAAATGCCACCGAAGGTTCATATAGCAAGTGGCCAAGTGAGATAAAACAAACTTGGACACGTGCCAAAGCTGAGCTCATGCTGGTCATGGTGGGTTTGCCTACGGAACTGCCATGAGTCCCTCCGAAAAGGGCACCAGAAATTCCAATACGATGGCATCTAGATCCAATCCGGACGATTTCATGACCCTTGAACCCGACAGGAGGAAACTAACAACATCTATTTGGAACATTCATTAAACATGCATGATCGCATATATTCCCAAACGATACAGTAAATGAGCCTATGACCCGATATCATGATATGGATTTATGATTAAGGACTCTATTCAACTCCGTTCCAACCACCCCGTCTCTTCCCCAACCACCCGTCTGCCACGTCTGCCCGTCTCCACGGTGATAACAACGGTCGAGGGCGGCACCAGGCGAATGGGCATGGATCCATTGGTCAGTAGTTCTCGCATCCATGCCTTGAGTCTCAGCCATTACCCAGGTGCAGATGCTTTGCGTGCGTGCTAGACGTCCGGCGTGCGTGCGTTTGACTCCTAGACTCCTGCACATCGACCCGGACCCGGTGAACATGTCTTGAACACGTGTCTTTTTCACGTGCTTTTGGTACAAGTACAGGGGGATACAGGGGGGTGGTTCTCGATGGTTTTCAGGTTCAGATTCTCAGATGTCAAGACGTTCATTCTTCCCTTTTTGAGGGTCAAGCTTTTTGCAATTTCGGAGGTTTAAACCCTCTTTGATCAAGAGTCTGGGATCAGAATTGAAATCCCTTCGTGAATTGAAAAATCTTAGTCACTACGTTTCAATCATCCCAAGCAACCAAGTAAAGGCCTGAGTGGGATTTCACCCCGCAGCTGCGAGAGAACAGGCAGCTGAGTTAGAGTGATTTCTTCCGGAACAGCATCTCGGAGGGAAAGTCTCACTGATTCCCTCTCCAAGTCACAGTTTCAGCTCCAAGTCTCACTTTTAGCTCCAACGCCAAAAGCTTGGTACAGTGAAAAAACCTCTGACACCCTCATGTTCTTTGGGAACAGGATGGAAAAGCTCAGTCGCTTGTACCGTACCTGTTCTTGTTGGGAAGCCCATCCCCATCCCCCCTCCAGGGTGGTGACCTGGTGAACCCCTTGGGTTCATCCCAAAGGACGCCATCCGTTGACCAAGCTGCCCGGTCGAATCCGTGCTTCTCGGCCCGGTTCTCCCGCGCCCAACGCACCAACCTGGGCACGGCCCTGGCACGGCCCGATCTCAATTTCCAATATCTGCGGTTTGGATGAGGCTTTTCATGGCTTTTTCCACCTAAGGTCTTTGGATGTCTTTGGGTGAGCAAACCTGAGGCTTTTGAACTCAACTATCACACCGTCTTGTGAAAGTCTTGGAGCTTACTTCCCGGTACACAATTCCAAGTGAGCTGTGCTGGAAACCTTGATAGATTGAAAGGTCGTATGGGAAGTCTTACGCTGAGACTTACGCTTTCCTTGCGCGCGCACAGTTTTACCTTACGCGGCTGGTTTGTGGTAGAAAGGGCTTACGCCAGGCTTACGCCAGAGCACTGCACTCAAATTTCCACACCCCTCCAAGAGAAAAGCTTACGCGAAGATGAGTTCATAGCAGGATAGATACACACGCACACAAGGCAGGCGACCATTTTCACGCAGCACTACTTGCAGAGTGACTAGATGATATGCTTGATGAGGACGATGTGGATTCTGCATCGAACACCTGGTCAGACTTCATGGCCTCACTCTGGCGCTTGCGCTTTCTTGCTTGCCTGCTCAAAGTCTGAGCTGGCGCCATGCGTGGGCAATTGATTAGAAATCGAAGTTGTCTTTACGCAGTGCTTACGCGGACCTTACGCCATGTCTGATCATTCCTTGGTTCATAAAAACAACTTGTTTTCATTGATTGGCCCTTACGCCACTGGTTATGTTGAAAAAACCTTACGCAACCTTACGCGCAGCAGACTTTTGCTTACGCCAACCCTCCTTATGACCAAGCTCTTAACAAAAATGTAAAGGGAGGTTTACGGCGCTGCTCAAGTCTCTTTGGCTGCACTGCTCCTCGTCAGCTTCCACATGCGTTTGAGGTGCACGCGCGTCGCCAGGCCGCGCGCGCGCGGTTGCGCTCGCGGGTGTTTTCTTATAGAATTCCCCTGCATGGTGACTGAGAAAGACTTTGGCTCCAGCGCTGTGGCGAGCCCTCTACAAAACAGTCTCAGCAAACTTGGTCCGGTTGGGCACACACCAAAAAGAACCGTCGAGGTGGAAAGCCATCTGCTCAACTTCCACCTTTCACAGGAACAGCTTGCTCACTTCCTGATGTTACGTGGCAGTTTCCCCAAGGTTCAACTTGCAAGTAGGCTTTTGAGGAGGATCACTTCCAGTAGCATGTATGTGAAACATGTGACCCAACACTAAGGCCTCTTCCGTTTCACTCTTGGCTCTCCAACGTGATGCGCCCAACCTGCACCCCAACCTGCACCGCACCGACAGGCCTTTCGCCCGGGGCGCGGAGGGACGGCTGGTCACCCCACAGCAGCTCGCTCAATCATCGTCGCGGTTGCCGTCGCCGCCGCCTTTGGGGCCACCAGCCTGCTTGGCCATGATGATTTGATCCACCTGGCGGATTCGAACATCGATGTTGGAGTCATGATGCACTTACAAAGGGCCTGAGAAAATCCATGAGAAAGCATGAAAGCATGATACTATGTTATAATGTATGATGTTATATGTAAGATTATGTGCAAGAAACATGTAGAACATATCTGCAGTCCTTGCAAGGGAGCCATGAGTTTGCAAGGAGCAATATGAAGATGCATCAGCTTCAGGGGTAACACGGCTTGGTCAAGAGAATATCGAGCAAATCTCATTTGGCGGACGTCAGCATTTCTGCTAGATTCGCTCTGTGAGCCGGAAACAAGTGCTCCAAAGGGCAGGTCGTTAACCAATCCGAGTCCGGAATCGGATGCTTCGTACAGATTCCCTCTCTACCAGTCCTCACAAGTAGGACAAGGCTGCCCATAGAGTCTCAAGTACCCAAACTACTCGAAGTTCACAGGACTGCGGGGTTTCAGCCACCACCGTTTCCAACAAAAAAAACCAACGCACACGTATTCGCGGGGGCCCCGGAACACGTGGTCGCCTTCAAAACGGTGAGCACAGCATCCAAGGTGAATCGGATCGCCCAGCGTTTGGTCTCCATGTGATCCAGGATGCCCTTCTCCAGTGCGTTACACACCTGGCAGCCGGTGGCATTCTGCGCTGTGTATGGTATTGATGCGCACCGGTGTGCGCACCACCAAGTACTACATAGCGAACCCGCTGTTTCAATGGTACCGTACGAACGAAGCACCAAAGACTCGCTTCCGGGAAGTCCAGGAGTGACATGTCGGGGTGGTGTTTCGTCCCAGGAAGTGGATGTGAAGGGGCACCCCTCACAATCAAGCACCCCGAGATGGAACTGCTGGGTCAGCTTCCTTTTCAGAGCTCGATTCCCGCCTTGGTCGACCTCGACAGTCCGAATCCGTCGCGACATGCCGCGTGTCGGCGCCAAGAACCCTCCAACGGCACGCCCGCTTTTTCAAGCGCAAAGGACCCTGGCAGGGGGACCTTGTTTGACCACAAGAACGCAAAGAACAACAAACAATGATCCAGGTTTTGACCCCACACCGATGTATGAAGATGTAGGAAGATATGAAGTGGTGCTTGTGATGTGACCGTTGGAGCTTTTGTGCACCAACAAAATGGTAAAGAACAACCCCATAGATCAACAGGACCAGTGCTTCCATACTTTTCTATACATTTCTGGGGTTAAGTTCTCCCTGTTGACCAGCGTTCGTCCAACCCTCCATGTCCACAACAAGCCACCCGCGAAAAAAAGATCGAAAACACCTAACTGGTTTGCACCCTCCCCCTTGGCACCAAAACATGACCTGTCATCGGCGAAACAATGAAAGTCGGAACGGAACCCCTGACCCAAATCCTAGTGTACAGCCTGATTTCAATGGGATCCCTCACGGCCAACCACTCAATATCGGAATGCCTATACATATGGTACGACCCCCAAAGATCTACCTTGTTCATATGTGGATGATACTTTTTATGTGCATAGATTCGATACACAAGCTTTAAACATAACTATACATAACTAGTTCTTGGGTACCTGGATTCAAGATTCAAGTTGCCTAGAACTTTGTCCAGCAATTTGAATCTTGAGTCCATATTTGTTGTTCTATCTCTTGTCTATAGTGTTTTCTTCTCTTAGACTACCAAACCAAAAAAACAACAGTCTCTCTAACCATTGAGGAATATGCTTGTTGTTTAACCTGGCAACGTCTTAACGTGATGGTCTCATTTGGGTTGGTCATATTTGTAAATTAATGTTTGAAGTGTTGAAATCAATATATAATACCGAAAACTTTTCCTATCAAAAGCATTTGTCTAGTTGTCCCACTCATAAGAGTAGTGACATAAAATCCATCAATGCATTCCTCCAGCATAGATTATCTATGCAATGACCTTTTTCAATGCCTTTGGAATTGTGTCAGCATCTGTTTTGGTGTGTGTATAATAGCGCTAGATATCTACATTCGCTACATCTGTCACATTGTCATTCAACACATTTATTCCTTCACCGTTCTTCTTTATTTGCTCTACTGACTCTGATGTTCATACAGCCTTGGTTGTCATGACATTGTCAAGTTCTTCATCTACATCAAATGTTATTTATCTAAGTAAGTAATTATGTGTATTCTCATATTGAGGATTTTGTCAAATAAAACCTTGGTATGTCTTCTGCATTTTCCCTTTTCACAGTTCTCTTGTGTATTTGGTCCTTAGGAAAGTAGGTCGAATTTATATATTGAAGGCTGACAGAGGTTGTGTTTGTTTGATACCAAGCTCTTTGAAGTCTCCCTCAACATAATCAACAATAAAAGGTCTTTTCTTCTCCTTCCCTTTCTCTGCATCAAACGGATTTATCTTTTGCTCCTACCATCTGGTCTCCACAAGGATATACAGAACCGGAATGTATTGTCTCAGCCCTTTGCATATTAGATCTATCCATAATAATGACCGGACATGCGTGCGGAAGGCAAAATGGTAGATCTTTGGGTGGGTAGCATATACTTATATATATATATAGAGATTGGCCCAATGAATGCCATACATCCATGCGGCCTCTGGGTGTCACGTTCCGTGCTTCCGTGCTTCTGTGGCCCCGCGCTGGCCCCGCATCCACGTCGATCCCCGCAGCGGTCTCGCCCTTCTGATGCGCGGCGTAGAGCGCCGTGATGGCGTCCACGTGGCTGTGCCCCGCGTTCTCGGCCAAAATCCTTTGAAAGAACACGGAGGTAGGCGAGGAAGGTTGCCTTGTTCGCAAGGAAATTCTGGTGGTTTTTTGGGAGTGGGTGAAGGGGTCCTTGGGTCGGTGGGTGGGTTGGTCTTGTGAAGAATTGGTTGGGTGGTTGGTCGTTGGGTGGTTGGTCGGGTGACGTGCGCTTTGTTCCAAAGGCGGGACGCTCGTTGCTCCGGAGGGGTTCTTCACAGCATCAAGAGCCCTGGGACCAAGACAAAGAACCAACAAAACCAGTCGTTGGAGGGATGGGCCATGTTTACTAGGAGCTCCCCATCATTTGGAGAGACTGGTGCCAAACACGTCGGTTCATCGGTCGGCATCTCAAGCGGTGTTGGCTGGCAAACAGGGAGAGCCTACAGCGCCTAGTGTGGGAAAGGAACCGATTATAGGACCTCGGTCCGAGGCTCACCGGAGCCCGAAAAGCTTCAACGGCGTCCAAGTGGCTTGGGCACCACTTCCAGTGCCTCGGCGAACTTCAGCACGGCATACCTCAGCCAGGGCCAGGGCAGGAACAGCTGGCGCGTGAAAAATGGGCCTCCTCTGAACTCCTGACTGGATCGATCTGGAGAATGACCTTGAGATGGCCAGACTATAGTGGCTTACTTGCCTAAAGGTAGCGGGATGAACCATCACATGAGAGGGAGGGACAACAAAAACCGCCCAAAGTGGCATGGCTGTTGCCGTTGTCGAGTTTAGCTTATCATTCTTTGGAGCAGCTACACTCTGACTCACTCACGTGCTCTTCCACTGCCTTGTGATGTGTTCGCCGGAGAGTATCCCCAAAAAGCTCAGAAAGGACCCTCAGTTCGCTAGGGCTTCAAAACCCGGGTTTGGGAGCCAACCAATATGGGTGTGCATTTCATAGCACACTCTGCCAGGTCGACTGGTCTATTTTCCTTCCAACCCACATGGTGATGCCTCAAGAATCTATATAGAGGTTTCCCTGTTTTGAGCTGCTCAGTCGGCCCCTACAAGTCCAGTCCGACCCAGTAGATCTTGGTCTTTTACCTCGCGTATGTCGTGCTTTTTCGATGACCAACTCCAGTCTTTCATGAGCCCAAAACTGACATTGTAGGGAGCATGTTGGTCAGCAGTTTCAGGTGGACCGAACCTGGGCCTCTCAGCCTCGAGAGGCTCCGGAGGACCCTTCCACTGCTTCCACCCCCCCGAGGCGATCCGAGGCTCTGATCCAAACCCGGGACCGTCGCGCCGAACTGCTGCAGCTGGTGCGCCAGCTCGATCTCCGTGGCCTCGGTCCGCGGCGGGTTCGCGGGCGATGTGGCGAGCGCCACTGGAAGTGTCCAAGTGTCCAGGTCGATTGACCATGTTTGGTAGTGGGTGGGTCATTCACTAAATGGGTGGGGTCATCCACTAAACCCATGGTTTTGACCCACGGCGAGAAATGAACAACCTTCGTTCCTCGGCGGAGTCGTCCCCAAACAAAAAAAACGCCCATCCGGTCGACCCGAACATTGCATCACAAGAACAATCCACCACCAAAAGCCGATTTTTTTGATGCTCCGTTTTCACCATGCGAGTTGCTGAACAAAAGCCGTTTCGGAATCGTCTTGTCGGAACCCAAACATACCCAAACCATCCATGTGCATGTGGAATACTTACATTTATCCCATGCATGGCCCATGGAGTCTGGGCGTCTTATCATGGGATCGATCCGTTCGGATCTTCCGGTTGGTCACGAGGGCCTTGCCTTCGGTCCCCAGTCCTGGGGCTCCAAAGGACTCGGAGACTCGGACGTCTGGTTGGAGAGTATGATTTTTTGGGACCTACTGTCTACCAGCACCTTCCAACAGGTCTCCTCTGGAGGCCTTTGTAGACTTAAAAGTCGCAGGTGGTGACCTGTCAGAGGGTCCTGGTACCTGTTGTCTTAATTGGTATATAAGTCAAAAAAACACAATCATTGCACATCCACGGGAAACTATGGGTTTCACCCCCCATTTCACTCCCCAAAACCATTGGTTTCCTGTAGATGTTCCCTGAAACCGATTCCGGGATGATGAATTCCATCATCACATCGGATGTATGCCCAGCTTCTTCGTCACCGAGCCGCTCCAGCTCCCGCGACGAAGCGCGGATCCCGAGCGGTACATCTCACCACCTGACCCAACGGAAGACATCCGAAGGCAGGTTGGAAGGTCGAAGGGAATCGGAGAGACCCGAAAGATGGGAACCTTGGGCCAATATATGCCCAGTCCTATATACAACTATAGGGGAAACTGTACAGAAGGCAATGTCGAAAGAATCATGTTAAAACAAACTGACATCAACTGAATTTCGTTTTGACCAATATTGTATAGGCTCCAAAGACGCATTGCAAGCAGGCTGCTGCCTCATGAAAGGAATTGAACCAAGGGTTAACATACTGAAAGTAACTAACCTGGCCCTGCTTGCACACCTTTCTTCCAACTCAGCTAGGTCAAGCGCGCCTAGCTGAACAACTCACATGGGGTGAAGCAGCCCCGTCACAACTCTGATGATTGAATCATCCTTCTCCCTCAGTTTCCCTGGAATACCAGGTGAACCGTTTTCCTACCCTGTTGGATGCTCATCTTGTCGTTCTTCCCCCCACGCTTTGGCTGGCCCATCGCATGAACGTTCATCACTGGACTGCAACCACTGCGGTCCATGGACGTTCGTCATCCGGTCCAGGGAGTTCGGGAACCACCATGCGGACATCTTCGTCGGTTTCCAGGAGGTTCCAAGATAGAAAGGGGGGCCGTCGCTCGCGTTTGGAAGCCACGAACGTCGAGGACCCCGGAATTTGCCACGTGCCTCGTGACTCACAGAGTGACACATTCTCAAATATGTCCAACGGTCGAGTGACCAAATGTTCAGTATTTTTATCAGGCCATTTCAATCCCCTATTGATACCTTCACAAGCCAAATTATGATAGTTTCCCACATCTGGAGATAGTTTCGCAATTTGAATCAATTTGAGTTCTTTCAGGCTCCAAACAGCTCTAAATCTCCTTGAGAGAACAAACATACATCCGTTGTACTCTGGTCCCACCTACCTAGCTGCAGTGCTGCTGTTCCGTTGCTCCTTTGTTTCACACTTGTCACCTGTTTGTTTTTTGAACTTGCTTGCCCCCACTGCGGAAATAGGTCAAATTTACGGTGACGTCGGGTGACGTCGTTATCATTCAGGTCGTGATCTTCCAGCTCCCCCAATAAAGCTCCTGCCAGGGAACACTCTTTCATGTAAACTCTTGTCTTGACGCAGTCAGAACCACATTCAGCTCCCCAACACGGAAGTGGGAACCCACCACTTTGCAACAGTTGCACGAGAGAAGTCGTCTTCCAACATCGCCCGCGCCATCCACTTCCATCCACTTCCGAACGTGAGACGATGTGAGCTTCTTGACCAAAGCTCCAAAACCCTAGAGCTGCAACCACCTCCTGAGATGATTGGGGTGGGGTGGGGGGGTCTAACCATGTCTAACCGCCTTCTAAGATGGTTGGAGCCCTAGGGAAAGCTTCACCACCAGCCATCCCTTCACGTCTCCCGGCGCACATTCACCGCATTGTCGATGGCCCGCTCCAGCTCATCCAGGACATTGGGCGAAGCGGAGCGGAGCACGACGGTGGAGATCTTGGAGTCCCGCGTCTTGATGATGGTGAAGGGCTCGGATGAGATCTCCTCCACCTGGAGCACAGGAAGTTCTTTTTCCTCTCCTAGCCATGGCCTCCAACCTAATAGCAATGGTGTTTTCGTATTTTCTAGACTATAAATTGTTGTTACTGCAATATGGTTTAAAGCTTTGAAAAAAGGCTTGCTCCAAAAGGGGTCCTCTCCACTCCTGCAGCTGTTGAATCACTTGCAGCTCATACAAGTCCTTCCTGGCAACAAAGAGGTCCACCCCACCCCGCCCCGCACAGGGCGGGGCGTGACACGCGCGGCTCCGCGCGCGCGGCACCTTGATGGACTCCACATAGCCACACTCTTCGGGCAGCGGCGGCCCCGAGCGGACGATGGAGGTGGCTCCCACGGTGCGGCAGACGCGGCGCAGCTCGAATTTGGAATTGATCTTCAAGGCAAAGATCCTGGGCCGCGCAGAGGTCTGGAGGATAGGAGGAGGAGGAGGAGGAGGAGGAGGAGGGAGGCCATTTTTAAACAACACATGGGAAGAGTCCGTGCTTTGAGAGGTTTGGTGTCAAACGACGATATATGTTTTCAAGGATGCTTTTGTTGGATTTATCAAAAGAGTACAGTCAAGTCATGGGATTAGAAAGTATTACAAACTTGTGGGCGGCGTGAAGCTCAGCAAACTCCAAATGAACAAAAACACAGGGTTACCCGGCTCAGCAAACTCTCTTCATCGGACTTTTATGACCAAAGCTTCTATAAGACCCAATCCAATTTGAACTATCTTTCCTTTGATGTTTGTCTCGGTCGGACCCAACGTAACCCAATCCAATTTGAACTATTCTTCCTTCGATTTTTCTCTCGGTCATCCTAATGCTACGGGAAGAGGTCGAGCCGCTTGTACTTGTTCAAGAAATGCAAGGCCATGTCCGAGATGGTCCCTCCGGAGATGACCACATCCACGCCCACCTCCTTGATGGCCCTGCGAAGCCAACCCGCCGCAAAGCACGGCGATAGAAGCCGCGGCTTTGGACGGTGTCTAACAGTCTCCAGGTGCCCGCTAAGATAGAGTAGCCTGTATACTAGACACTATGTAATAAGTCAAGTCTATTGGCCAAGGCATTTTTGTAAACTTCGGTGTTCAGCAGATATCAGCAGATCACTGTCAGAATGACCAAACAGCATCGGGTGGGATCTAGCACCTGGCTTTTTGATAATTACAAGATTCGGATCTCTGCACCTAAACAAACACATACAAAAACTATAAAAACTCAACACATATATCAGGCCTGGCGGTTGAGATGAGTGCTCGATCTCCAGAATACCAAAAATGACACTCACTCTGTGTGGGAAAACCAAATGGAAACAGCAAGCTGGAACCGCTTTAACCATCTGGAACCACCTGTTCCGATGTCTCTTCTTAAGCGACGATTCTTCTTTCCCTGTGAACCTGTCACCAGATCGATCCAAACAGTTGAGCCAGCTCGTCGATGGCTCCAGAAAACACCAATTCCAATGAAAAAGCAAGTCTTTGCCCACAAGGCTCCTCACTTAAAGAATTCACTGCTTCTGTTGCTACTTTGAAGCCAGTACCTACACCCTCCGACATGTCATTGCTTCACGAACTAACCCTCACTGTCAGTCAACTCCTTTTCATTTCGCTCCCGGACGAGCGCAACGCCCAAACCAACTCCACTGGGCGACTTTTGGAGTGCACCGGGCTCTCTCCACGTACCGGAGCAAAAAGACAGATGAAGAGGTGCCAGATTTTGCCGACCGTTTTGAACACCCACACATGGCTGGTGGATCTCGACGGCGCAAGCTGCCCACCTGATCATCTCCTCCATCTTTTGCTCCTCGTGAGTGCGGTTTTCGGCGGCGGAAGCAAGAACCACGAGACAAAAGCGTCAAAAAATGTCAAGAAGAAGCAGTCAAAACCTCTACAAGACTCCTCCAAGACACCTTCAGAAAGCGCATTTCAATCGTATAGCAAGGATATGCAAGGATTATATAAGTACTGGCTTCCCCCATGTTTGGTTTGCATTCGTGCAGGATGACCTTGTTGGACATGTGTTAAGTATATACATTTCACCCATGGATATGTATACCTTACAGGTCAATGCCATCATTTTTCTGGAGTTAGTTATACAAAAACATGATTCTGCTCTGGGTGCTTCTGCAGCTTCTGGAATTGACCCCATCCAAGTTCAAACTTGTTCATGCAAACTATCATTGAGTCATCAGGTACTCATGCGCTAAACCCGCTCAGTGGAGGCTGCATACCCGCTCAAAAGCCCCCAAGAAGGGCTGAATAGGTACAAGCTGGTCACAACAAATCACTCAACTAGTGTCATTTTGTCTTGTGTGGCCGGAACAACGGCAGCGACAAGTGGCAACAGCATCATCAAAATGATTCAAACATGTGGTGACTACAAAGAAAAAGACCCCCCAAAAAAAGCACTTTAAAATAGAACACATATTATTCACGACGACAACAACAACAACAACATTCCACAACCAAACACACAAACCAACCTACCAACAAAAACAACTAAATAGAGGAACATCCTTTTCTCAAGCATTGGAATCATTGGACCATCACAAAAACTGCAGGTCACTGTGTATATGTACTCATCCCGCACCTCGCCCTTGCTAAAGTTCATGAGCTGCTCCGCACTCTCAAGGAGGACGGTGCCCTTCGTCTCCTCAGGAAGCCACTGATTCTGCCAGTTCGCTGAGAAAATACACTCCCGAAAACTCACAAGGACGCTGGGAATGGCACCCTGAAAGACTGGTTTTCAGGGTCCATGTTGTCCAGCTCATGTGGCATCCCCTCTGTCAAATATAGAGACAACCCACACAGCAAATTCATCCTTTCAATCCGGGGCAAATGACTTTCAACAAACTGTGCCATGTGGTCATGTGGTTTGGTTCTTTCATTCCACCGCAAACTCATCATGTCAGTCAAACGAAAGCTCTTCGACCTACCTACCGACCGAAGCAACCAGGATGGAGAAACCAAGACGATCGACAGCAAGCAGGACGGCTTGGCTCTGCAGTAACACCATCCCCACCGGGAGGAAAAGAAACGCGTTCCCACATAACAACTGGCTCTGCCAAGGCGTCCGTACTCCCGAGCTCCAAGGCTTCCGCATAAATGGCCACCTGGTGCGAACGGTTCCCGCTTGCGCCAGCATGACGTCCGCCTGATGTGTGTGGATTTGGATGACTTTACCTTTGAGGTGTTTTTTTGAGTACCGTAAAGTGTCTGTCTCACTCGCTCATTCACTCACTCACTCTCTATCTCTCCCTGCATCGGCAATAGAACTTGCTTGGTATTTATCCTTGAATTGTGCTATAATGTGCCAATGTAGTACCTGACTAAACTGGGTGTTCTTTTGAAAGATTGGCAGTCCCCTTCGACTTGACCAAAGGCATCCTTCTGCCTTGGAGGGCTCCGAGCTAATACATCCAAACATGAACACGTGTGTCCATGTCCATGTGGCATAGGGACATACACATAATATGGGGTCCTGTAAAAGATTGTGTTTGCAGATTGGCTCTCCTGCCACGATCACAAGGACCACTTGAACAAGCAGAAAACAAGTCTTAGGCCCCTCATGGACCTGTGTCTCCCCCCTTCACAAGCAACACGTACAGCGCCCTCGCTCCCCCTCGCTTACTGAAACACTCGCCTTGGCCTTCTCCTTGCAGTTCTCCACGCCACTGCTTCGTCGAGCGATGGCCATGCCCTCCACCACGAAGGAAGAGTTCAAGTTTCCACCCTGAACCTGGCGTGGTGAGGCGTGGTGAACTGGGCCGCAGTCGATGAGTGCAAAGATAGCAATTGGATGCCTTCGGGGGTGTTTTGGACCGATGCCCAGGAAAACTGGCACCAAAAAACAACGCCGAAGACCATCAAGGTACTAATGAAGGTTATTGGTGGGATTGAGGCCACAAAGTCCGAGTCTAGAATCATCTATAATCATAGTATATATGACTTTAAATAATGAAACTGCTGCAAAGCATCTGTTAAATGAAATGGAAGGGTATGATAGGGATGACCATGCTTAGGGACCACGTGGCTTGGCTGCTTTCTTGGACACCAGGACCCTCCCCTCTGTCATGTGCCGCCTTCGTGACCCTCACGTTGTCCACATCGAATTTGCTCGGCGTGGGAGGCATCACTTGCACACAGGCCTAGCGTTGTGGTCCGTCACTTGACCCTGACCCAAACACTCCATGGGACTGTCATATTTGCCTACACTGCGGTGGTTGGGGGGGGTGAATGTATGCATATGGCAGTCCCATGGAGTGTCTGGGTGAGTGCTATCGGGGTCGCGACGACACGGTGCGGTTTCCTGGAACCTCCGATCACCTCTGACAGGGGGGACCATCCTGCGACCATCACAGCGCCTGCGCCTGTTGTATTGATGCATGGCTCATGGTCGAGAATTTGCGATGAGAGAAACAAGTGCACTTCAACTAGGAACAGCACGACTGTTTTTGTCCTACTTTTTCTATCAGAAACAACACTAGGTTAGGATAAACAATGGATAAACCAAACATCAGGTGCCAGGCGACCGACCTCTACGTGTCGGGCCACCGTGTCCCGGACGTCCGGCACTCTCGACGGCATGGCGGTGGGGCGATGCAGGTGGGGCGACCAAGCCATCGTAAAGAAGGCCATATTATGATCTAGAAACTGACTAAAAGAAGGTCAGCTTAACAAAGAATAGAATGATGATGAATGATGTCATACAGAAAGAACATGACTCAAATCTTTAAAGAAGGCCCAATCCGATCTGCGCGCCCATTCCGCACATGCGACCTGTCCAGATCCCACGATCGCCTTGGCCCTTGGGTGGCCCTTGGGGCGTTTTTGCAAGGGAGCCCGGTTTCCTGGAGTCCCCAAGTGACCGGGGGAAAGCAGACCGGCCTAATGTAGACTCTTGATTAATACACCGGACCCCCCGCATTTGAATGGAACATCCTCTTCAAAGAAAACGGTTTACTGATCAAGAGTCTACATTATATTGGAAGTGACCGGCCTAAGCCGGGAGAGGCATGAACTCAGCGGTTCAATGTTGATGGCTCTCAGAAGGTCGACACACAAACACACACACACACACACACCACAGTAGCTGGCTGGAAAAACACACGCGCCAGCGCCCGTGGCGGCGCGCACGCCAGCTGCCAGCGGTGGTGACAAAGGTCATCAAAGTGAAGTAACCAGGTCAAACACGTGAAACTACTAACAACAATTACCGCTATTTCTGATATACAAAAACAACTTAATTGTCTGTTTCGTATATTTAAGTTAAAAACATACATATTGGATGGTATATTCCGGTGTGACCCCCGTTTCGCGCCCAACGCGGAGTGTCCGTCTCCCTCACCCGGTGCCCCCGTGGAGATCCGGTGGTCGTTACGATGGACTCGCGGGTCCGCCTCTGCCACCAGCTTCGCCAATGGACCCTCACAGCCCAACTGCTTCGAAGAGATGGCCGTCTTCACGCACTTCGTGAGCCTGAGATATGCACCTTTACCAGGGCCGTCAAACACTATGCAGGGTGCAAGGATTACGTACTTTACAAACAACCTCGCTGAAGAGGGAATTGGCAGAAATGGGAGTTTCAGAAGGGATTCCTGGAGGGATTCTTGGAGACATTGGGAGAAAGATCAAAATGACAGCCAAGGGTGCAGAATCGGTGCCGTCCTAACACGCGATCGGAGCGTGTTGAGACAAAGGCTTCAAGGCTTCAATCCTGCCTTTGGTGGAGAAAATCGTCCGCATTCATGGGAGCTTCCTTTTGGATACAATCCACCCCAAGGATGGAGAAACCAAGGGTTCGTCTAAAAAGTCCAATTAATTGGTTCTGGGCATGTGCGGTCAAACTTGAGAGAGTTACAGAGAGAGAGAGAGAGAGAGAGAGAGAAAATCAATCAAGACACCTGGAACCAACCACGAAATGACATGGTACTCTTTGTCTTTGTCGAATGTCCGAGTGTCCCACAGTTGGGATATACATCTGCATGACAACCCCCCACCCAAACAAGCTCTGCAGCAACGGTTCTTTTGAAACATGACACCTATGAACCCCATGTCCTTGCCGGATCTTTGCAGTCTTTAAACAATACTAATCCCGAGTACCTATTTAAAAACGGACCCCTATTAGAAAAAAGTCATGTCGGAAACCCCTAAGTACGGTTTATATTTGTTTTAAAATTACCGCCCTTTCAAGCCGCTACTAACCTACCAAAATTGCCGACTTTGGAGGAGTTTTTTTTAATTAGGTTCCAAAAACAACCGTAACTGCCCACCTCTGTCCGCCCTGTCTATCCACCATGACACGCCGCGCTTACACCAGCAGGCTTTCCTTCCCCCAATGGCACGGACTCACGCAAACGCACTTGCCACCGAGGTCATGCAACACCGCATGGCACAGCGACATCACCTTTCGAAAGCTTTAGCTGTTAGTCTACTGAAGAATCACTATTCTAATGAAGGTTTTTGTAGGGGAAAAGGAAGACCCTTCGATCTGGAGCTTTTTGGCATTTTTGATACGAGTTTAATAATGGTTTTTATATAAAACTTTACTGATTTACTTTTTGGTTTTGAAGCTCTTCCCAGGTGACCTATTTTGGACCCCCCGATTTCAGGGACCCCCTATTAAAAAAAATGCGACCGAGGTTTCCTTATTAGTGGGGGGGGGCCCTCGTGCTTTTTATTAGGTGGACCGGATTATAACCAAAAAGCGTGCGGCAATTAAGGCTGCAGCCAAGCAGCTGCTCCACGCTTTTTAAGTCCTCACAGGACCAAGCGACTTGGGCGTTCAGGCATTCCAGCGCCTTGTCTCTCGCAAGCTCGTAGCCCTCAAAACTCACTGAGCTGTCTGGCGACATCGCAGCACTAGGACTTCCAAGTGAGAGCTGGACATATTGTTCCTGGTTCCCTTGACTCTTTCAAATGCACTGACTCCCTCGGATAAACGAACTTTCAACCGGTTCTACCACTCCAGCCATCTCGAATCGATGGCCTCACTTCCAACTCTCTGGTTACAAAACAAGTACAACATGGAGCTACAGGACTGCACGTGCCGCACGTGCAGGTATAACGCACCACCAGCGAATTACACACGTCTTCAGGGTGCGACTACCCCCATGCCAGGCTGGGAGGGCCCAGACCCCACACTGTGCCCATCCTCATGTGGGCGAGACATGACATCCAGGATCCGGAAGGTCTGCCCAGCCACGCTTGATGGGGAAAACACACACATCCCACCAACAGAAGAGAGTGGGACGCCACCAGGCCCACCCAAAAGACGTCCTTTTTGGGGGGCCTGACAGCGTCCCTTTCTGAAACAGAAAGGGGCTAGGCCAGGAAACACTTCTGCAGCTGATCCCACAGCGCCACTCTAGTGGCGCGCCGGCGTTCCGAGCAACACTCGACGGCCCGGAGACCCAACGGCTGTGCCTTGTAGACGTCATTGGCATGGATGCCTTCCTGCGACATGGCGACGTTGGTGAAGACGAGGCGAACAAGTGGCGAGTGGCGTCTGGTCACCCACTACAATGGTCTACATATTTAGAAACGGTCCTACATGTGGGAATGTGAGTTTCTATCAATTTTGGCAGATCGTGTGCAACCACAAGTTGCAAAGTGTCTGCACACATGTTTATTGCAATCGTTTCCGGTACTCCTCACGGATTTTCCGCCATGTTTTTCGGCCAAAGCATCAGCACACTCAAGCACAACCAAAAACCTCAAAAACACGACCATGCCTGGACCATCCAATTGAACATGCGCATTAATAAGCAATGGACTGAACCCTCACGGCGCGACAGCGCGCTCCGCAGGACGCTCCGCTCCTTGAGCAGCTCCTCCGCCCGCAGCAGGAGCTCTCCGCCGAAGGAGACACACAAGTTGGTGCCATCGCCCGACTCCTGCTCCTGAAGCCGGACCCAAATGGGCACGTGGACATACCCGTTCGGCCTCCAGTCGTACCGAACCTGAGAAGGTGGGACTGGGGTGGGTGCCAGGGGTGGGTGCCAGGAGGGTCCAAATACCTTCTGAGGAGGGACTTGGAGGTGTAGGGAAAATAAAAATTGTTTTGTGTTAGTTATGTGATTTTATGTGCTAACATACAATTGTTTTTTGCATATGGTGTACATGTTCTATAGATTCTACAATTGTGGCCTGTAGGGTGGCCACAAAGAGCTACATGGTAGGTCGGCCCTTAAGGGTGTTCAACAACTGTCCAACAGCTGCCCATTCGTTGGAAGCTTTCAGCCACTACTCCCCCAGGCCACTGTTCTTTGGAGAAAGGTTTGTCAAAACATAATATGTGTATACATGTACCATAAATAATGTATATATATATATATGATTGTACATAGTTGTTCAATGGTTGTTGACAGCTGCCCTTGGCCCTCAATCTCGGTTCATCTGGCCTGTTTGTCGTCCGCGTCGAACACCGGATGCTCTGAATGATATGTTGTTCCCCGCTCGGCGTGTCAAGCCCCCATCAAGATCCGTGTATAGTACTAGATCTTGACTGTTGGTGAATCAACTGAACCTGTTAGATCTGTTAGACGACTGCCTCCTGCAAAAACGGAGGACACCTTTTAAGCAAAACCGTGGACCGGTTTGACCGGTTTTCGGCACCGGCCCAGGAACGCCGGGGCGTGGGATTCCTGGGACTTGGCGGCCATCACGATGAGCTTGGCTGCTGGATGCATCACCTCAAGCTCCTGCAGGCCGACTCCAGGCGGAGTCGTCGAGGGTGAGAGAGCACTTGGGGGGGCTGCGATTGGGGGAAAGGTCATGGACTCTAGAGAGGGGCGGCCCTTATGCATATGTGTATATGAGAGAGCACTTATATAATGATACTTGAGTTTGGGATGCTGCACAAATGGTCTTCTCCCATCAAAACCAAACAAAAGCCAAGTGAGTTCTAGATACATATGAGTATTTCCTTCATGTGAGGGGAATAGACTACAATGACCTACACCTCAAATGCCGCTCTTGAAACTCTTGACTCCAGGAAAACATCACAAGGGCTAACTCCAATATCCAACATACAAGTCCGCAGGACCATGTTCCACCATATGCTTTCGTTTGTTCACTCAGTCGTCCCAAAGTGGAACACCAGAAACAGGCCATTTCAAGGTGCCACCATGCGCAACAGCTCTTCAGCTTTGAAGACCAGCGGCTGTCACGATGGTGTTGGTGTCGCTGGTGACGAAGTGCCGACCCAAGTGGTTCACAATGAGCTTGTTCATGCCTCATTGCAGTGGCCCTACGAAAGCACACTTCCACCATGCTGCACCATACACACGCATCCCGATCGCCGATCACAAGGGATCCTCCGAAAGGTTCCACAAGGATGCAACAAACGGCGAACGGCGGGGCCAGCGCGGGCAGTGGGCCATGCTACAACCTATAGCGCCTGCAGCTGCCTTCACTATGTCCTCAAAGGTGCTTCGGCTTCGAAGCCCAATCGAACAGAATTTTTTGGGTTACACTCCGACTCTCTAACATGGAAGATCATGGAAGTAGAAAGAAACCTGATTGTAAAGAAACTGGTACTTCCATGTCAGTGGGTCAGAGTGTAAACCTTTCGCCACCTGTTGGCCCCTGATGGCAACCTGATGGCAAACTGCTGCCTCGGGTTGAATGAGACTTAGCATTGAGAATCTTCCTCTTCGAAGCAGGATGCATCACAGGAATGCTGCCCTTGCCAAGGGCAAAAGTACAGGCAAGTCTAGGCAGGATATTGCCATTCTTCAGCCGGATGTTCTTCACGAATGGACTTTTCCTAGAGCTCCTGGCCCACCCCACCTCCTGAGCTTCGATGCTTAGGGCTTAGGGTGGGTGGGTGCCAGGGGGTAGAGGGTGTCTATCTAACCACCTAACGGACGAGCCCCGAGCCCGGAGCCCAGTCTCTTCGATGCCAAGAGGCCATATGGGCCTAAGGAACTCTTGGTGATCTGCGCCAGGTTCTTACCTCGGGCGACCAGCGACCCAGAGCCCGCAACGGATGGACGGGGGCCGGATCCAGGCGGATCCATCTCTTAAAACCCAAATTCTTTTGGGCTGACCGAAAAGCAGGACCTGTCCAAGATTCTTGCGTTCAACTGAACGAGGGTCTTGCTGAGCCTTTTGCGGTCATGGATGGCCATGGCCATGGCCACCGTGCTTAACGGACGAGTACGCACGCTCTAAAAGGCAGAAAAGTGTGCTTCCAGGCGGGATGTAAGCAGCTGGGTGGAGAAGGCGCCAAAAAATCGGTAGATTGGGGCAGTCACGGGCAGTCCAACTTCATCAACTTCCGAACTTGCTTGGGAATTGCTTGGGATTTTGGCTTCCCCCAGCCAAACGCCAGGTTCGAACAAGGGGACTTACACTCACGGCCACTAGAGGTGAGGACCTGGTAAGGGTACACCAGTACACCATAAATGTATCGATAGAGTCACCAAGGGGTGGAGGATAGGGGTCCCCATTATCTGCTCACTCAGGGACTAAAAAACAAGGAACGGCAGGAGCCCAGTCTACTCAAAACAGTTTTTAACGCGCCCCCCTCCACCACTCCACACCGTCACCATCCCAGGTACGGTATGTAAACAAAATCGATTTGTTTGCCACACACCCATCCCAAAAAAGGTTGGTCAGGCTTACGGAAAGCCCTTTGTTGGGGCCAAAGGTACAGGCCTCGATGTTCTTCAACAAGGCCTCGTCCACGCCGGAGAAGTGTTTACCGCCATCTTTCAGCAGACCTCACTGGTAGCAGTCGTGGGGTGCCCAAACATCACTGTGAGGATGGATAGCTCAGATCGTCCACCCCCCCTTTGAAAGGCGCAACAAACCTCAGATCTTCTTACTATATCCCAAAAGCTGTGTAGGGTCGTGTTGTATTTTAACATATTTTCACCGTCCACTACCCCCCTTAGACCTACAGGGCTGGGGTGGGGTAGCCCTCTGTAGGGTGTTCCGGAAGGAACGGAAGATTGATCGTCAGAAAGGACCGGACCTGATCCAGGGGATCTCAGTGGATCCCTTTTTCGAAGGAACTGCTGCTTACCAGCTTGGTTCTGTGATAGTTTAGGGCTCCAGCTATATGGTTGGAGCTCTAGGTCAGCACGGGTGGTGATTGGATGGAGCTGGGGGGATAGTGGCAACTGGATGTACTGGGTAGAGAACTCCCACCATCTGTTCACCCTCGTGACCAGGACCATCGAGGTCTCCACCCACCCTGTCCATGGGGAGACCAGGTGTCCTGCAGTGTCCGGTGAAAGAAACCAACTTCTCTCAGTACTGGTGGGCTTTCTCATCCGAAACAAAAAGAAGCGCCCCACCGGTGGAGGCATGCCATCTGTCCGTTCCTCCTAAACGTCCGAAATCTGTCCGAGGACACCCTTTGCGACCGCCCAAAGGGCCTTGTAGTCCAACTTGCTGATTGAACATCGCCATACTTTCGGCGAAATCGGACTACTCTCGTGGTCTTGAGCCGAGCTTTTCTGCGCAAGAATCCATTTTTAGGAAGCGAAGCTACCAAGCCAGGGACAGGTGCTTGTGCTGTCTGCAGGTGTTTGATGTTTGCATGTGTTTTTCATGCTTTTAGGGTCCTGCTCTTGAAGGAACAACACAATACGTCCGCAAGAAAGTTCTATATACACTTCTTCGAGCACTTTAAAACAAGGTGCAACTGTAGGTTTCATTTGGTTCATACATCCTTCAAGCAAATGTGAAAAGCTTGGGTGACATGGTGCAGTGGTGACGCAAAATCTATATATTGGTATTAATTATACCTTTAGGACCTACAATGCTGATCACCGGCACATCGCATCATGGTTCTTGACCCAGCACTGGGCTTGGAAGCAAACATCAAGCGAGTTCAAAAGCCTTTCACCTTCGGATGTTTGGCCGGTCGCCGCACCCGGCGCATGATGCGCGCATCGCGCATCGCGGGGTTTCCCCGCGGACCAAGGAGCTGCTTCCGCAGGGGCCGTGCGAGGTTGCAGTGCTCCGAGAAGTCCTGGACCACCTCCACAGGCTCCGGCAGTCCGGGGTCGCCGTCGGTCTCTGGGGCGGAAGAAGGGCCCAGAGACCGAAGGGCACAGCTACAACCCACGTCCCCAAGCATCGAAACGGAGGTGGGCCAGGAGCCCACCCTATAAGGGTCCATCCGGTGGCTCACCGCTCCGTCGAAGGGAAACGGGTGGACGGCAGTGGTGGAGGATACAGTTAGAAGTCCAATCAAGATTGGTTTTGAAGTGAAGGAAGTTCCCTTTCAGGTACCCTAAAGACCATATTTTGCTCCTTGACTCCGGAGTAACTATTCTGATATATCCAAATTCTACTCTCAAAGGGTAGTGAAGTCCTCCAACACCCTCCGGAACGAATCACTTTGGCCTTATTTTGGAGTTTCGCCACGTCTATCAGTCTCGCAGTTGTGGCGCCAGTAACACAAAGGAAAGTGATTTCAAATCAACTCCCTTCCAAAAAATCCCAAATCTACGGGTGGGTCCGTCCCCGGGGGTCCGTCCTGGAACTATCACGTCCTCACCTGTCCGTCCCAAAACGGGTCCGCCCGTTTTGAGCGAGGGCACGGCCGCCAGCTACGCGCTTGGGAAGTCACCGGCCGAGTGGCTTGGAGACGTGGCTTGGAGTCTTGGAGACTTGGAGGTGGAATCGATATCAACCAAATCATCACTGAATACAGGATCCTTCATCCAAAAGCAAAAACCCCAAAATCGATCAAATGCGCAAGTCTCCACCTCCGAACACATAATAGCAAGTCTCCCGAACGGCGCCATCTCCGGCGCCATCTCCCCTCTACTCTGTCCTCTACTCTCACCTCCCCTCGCCTGCATCTGCTGCTGCACTCGAGTGGAGTTCTCGTCCAAACGGGTCAACGTGCTAATGACTTCGTTGAGGATGATCTGAGTGGTTGAGACCCCCTGGAAAACTCCACCTGGACCCTGAAAAGCCACTGGTTTGTAGATGGAAAAACCGCCTTTCCGGGTCCTGACCTGGGTCCATGCTGAGTTTTCGGGAGTGAGGATCATCCGCGTATCAACAGGAGTTTTCCGGGTGCTTCGCGGAGATAGGATGGAGTCCTATATCAAGTCATGTCACTCCCGGGCTCCCGACGTGGAACTGCCAGCGTGTTGTTGGAAGACCCCGCAGTATGTAGGGTCTTCCCCCCATCTGGAGGACCAAGAGGCGGCCCACCCAACATAGATGTATGTATGCAAATATATGCAAATGGTTTTCCTCATTGACTCGTGTCTGTTCAACTCTTTTGCATTTGATCACCTGTGAGTCTTCTTCCGAAGCCCCGGAACGCCGGCGTTTCGCCCGAGGCGAGGAGGCCGCGGAGCGTCTCCCGGAAAGCCCGGCAAAGCTGATCTATGTATGGAATGAACATACACTCTGACGAACACATCACATGGAAGTGGATGGCACTCGCTGTTGGTCGAGGAAAGTAGTCTTCCAAGTGACCATTGTCCACTTCCATGTTAGTGAGCCAGAGGGTCTTTGGACAACCCCTGAAATGAACCGATGTCTGGCCGTTTCGGTGAAATCCGGTCCAGTCCCACCAGCAGTCACATGTCGGAGTGCGATCCATGGAGGAAGTCGGGGTGCCCCTGTCACATCCACTCACTGGATGGGACGAGCCACACCACCCCGAGAGGTGATTTTTGGTAGCCCTAGGGCTCCAGTCGTACCTGCTCAGGTTCGGTATGACTGGACCCTCCTGGCACCCACCCCAGTCCCACCTTCGAAACGAAGGGAAGACTGGAGCCTGGAGCCCTAGGGTATAGATGCTAAAATCGACGATCATAGGACCCGCGGACCCACCAGTCGAGTGGCACTATTGACGATGGCCCCCAAGAGCATGGTGAAGCACACGTAGCCGATCTCCGCTTCCGTGAAGGCCGACATGTCGCCGAAGCCCACCGTGGTGAAGACCGTCAAAACGAAGTAGAAGGAATGCAACCATTGCACCTGAGGATTGCACCGTGGCATACAAACGAAGTGGATTCAGGAAGGGGGCGCCCAACCTCAGATCGCTGATCAGCTTGACTTCAGCCTGAGTCAAGGGGCTATCCCAGACCATCCAAGCGTGGAAAAGGCACATTCATTTACCCCTTATGACCCTCAGGTAAGTAACTTCTTCCATCCATGGAGTGTCTGGGTATAGTCATCTACAGCTTCTAGCCTCTAGCCACCTATGTAGTCTATGAACAACATACTCCATCCATCACAGCTCCCTCCCAACCAAAACCACTTGAAGCATGTCTCGCTGCCATTGCCACCACCCCTTCTCTGCTCCCCTGACCCGGGCACCTCTGGGCTCTGCAGTGTTCCATCGCCCTTGAAGACCAGATTGCCACCGCTGGAGTCCACGATGCGCATGCCCAGCCAGGTGTCTTGATACCTCGCAGGCACCGAGGTATAAGGTACGGTGCTCCACCCGGTGCCGGTGCTCCAGGCGAAGCCGGTACGGCGCGGGTGGGACCGGTCCACCAACCCCAGCTGGACCACTGATGGGAGCCAAGAGATTCCAAAGAGGTTTCGAAGTCCAAGGTGGGAGTCCAAACACCATCCAAGCCATCCAAGAGTTCCCTCATTTTCCAGTGGGCTATAGAGCTCCAAGTACCTTCACTTCTGAGAAGGTGTTTGAGGTGCGTTTGGCAGGTCCAAAATACATTCTGAGGAGGTACTTGGAGCCCTAGGGATGGTTTCAGAGTGATTCAAAAGTGATCATGTTCATCCTCAGGCATGCTCTTCAATAAACTCCCAGCCTTTAGGTCCTTCTTGGTGTGCCCGACCTGGCTTTGCACTATATGTTGCTCGAAATTATACCACACAAACGAATCCGGCCGCATTCTTCCATTCTTGGCAGTGCTGAGTCGTACGTCACCTGACGTATGCTCCAGCCCCGCTTGCGGTGGACAGGCACTCCAGCCCAGCACTCGATAAACAGGTCTCCTTCAAGTGGCAGCTGGTGACCTCTTGGAAGGTCCAAATACACAAAAATTTTCCCTATAGGGCTCCCGGCCCATATCGTCAGGTCAGGTGGTTAGTGCGGTTAGAACCCCCCCTGGCACCCACCCCAACCACCTTCGGATGTGGTTGGAGCCCTGGATCCGTCAACCCTTTCCAACATACTGGCACCACCCGGTGGATTCAGCCAAGCTGGAGTGTCAGTCTCTCATCCTTCACGGCGCCCCCGCGTTCACGGCCGCAAAAACCCTCCAGGGAAGCCCAGTGGCGGCACGGAGGTCTGCAAAGCAGCACAAAGGTACCAGCCACAGCACACCATATGGGCCACCCACGACTCAGGAGACGTCGAGTTGGTCTCTTCGTCACCCAGACGTTGCTGGTTGCAGCTGCTGGCTTGCTTGGTGCGTTTCTTTTTTTATTCGGGCAACCGACTGGGAGCTGGGATAGAGTTACAGTACCATTCTACCAAGCCCACATTTACTCCATGTGACTGCCATCTGAATGCCATATCATATATGCCGATCAGTTGGGATGATTTGGGGGGTCAATTGATTGGCATATATGGCAGTCCCATTAGCCGTGTCTGGGAATATGAAAACCCCAGGCTGCCTATGAGCTGAAAACAAGCTGCAAGTCACTCTCAAGATAACGATTCCAGGTCCCAGCACCCTCCTGTCGGGGTGCCCTGTCTGGAAGCCTAGGCCGGTAGTGTGGGGTAGTCCAGCCAGGACACCCCGAAGGTCGGAGGGTCCAGGTCTCCAAGGACCAGGCAAACGCGTGGGTCACGTGGGTCACGTGGGTCACGCGGTCCGAGAGGAGTCCAAGTCATGGCAAACGTCGCCCTGAAGCTGACCAAACATGGAAGGGTAAACCAGAATAAACCCAAAGGAACCGAACTGTTCCACGGTTCAGGGAGTGTTGTCTTCCCGAATTCGAAACAAAGTGGCATATCAGTGAGCCAGGAGACCGCTGACAGACCCTGAACAAGAGTCTGCCGTAGATGCGAGGTCCAGCCTTTCTTTTTGACATCCCCAGACTCCTGGATGTGGAAAGTTGTTGTGACATACTGGAGGGATTTGGTCTGATCTGGTGAAGTTGTGGGGTTGCTTTTTCACACCTGGCTGGTCACCCCTGCCACCAGCCATAAAACACATGCCACTGGTCCTTTGGGCGCGATTTCTATGGCAAAAACCCAAAGACTACAGACCTGAACACATGCATAACACAGGTCCTCAATAATGGAAACAACGATGCCCCCCGGACAATATATATAAATATGCACATACATAAATGCATAATTACATACATATATTACATGACATTACAGTACAGCACAGTACATTACATTAGATTACAATACAATACATACACTCATTAGTTACATTAGGTATGCATCTTCCTTGGGCTGTGGAAATGGTTTTGTGAGAGTGCCTTTCACTCCTTGCGTCCAAGTGACC